ACATTTTTTTATTAGATAAAAAATAAAATCTCTTATCTTCCTAATTAATTGACATTATTCAATCAACATGCTCTAGGAAAACCTTGACAATACAAACTGCATATTGAAAAAATAGGCATGTGAAGGATATGGAGATAACGAAAAGTATTCAATATCAAAGTCCCTAAAACAATAAAAATAGGAGCAGAGCAAACACGGACCTCTAAAAAAATCATAGGTGGGATCAGGTGCCATGGAGGAGTGAGTATCCCCTGCTGACCGGTCACACCCGCCGTGTGCTCATTATTATCATCGGAAAATAACGGAAAAATTCTTCATCATTTCAGTGTATAAATATTGGACTAACAATTAATATGAAAAACGTCAGTCAGCATTTGACTCAATGATAAATTGTATTTACTGACTAGGTCATTGTATCGACCAAAGAACTTACGAAATGATTACTTTAAATGACAATGCTGATATTCTTGTTTCAGCAACTTGATTTTCAATAATTTATCTCTATTTAGAAATTGTTGATACGAAAATCATGCTCTTGTCTATCAAATCAACTGAGATATATAAACGCCGTATGCAGGTGATGAAGGTATATTGCTGCATAAGTAAGGGAAGTTGACGATAGAAAAGTTAAAGTCATCACTAGATCGTACTCTATTGAAAAATTAAGTATCGTTATGAAAATTAATGAACAGCTAAATCGTTTATGAACTTTTACTTATTTCTTATTTATTTGTCAAATTTGAAATATGGAGATATCAAACAGTTTTCATGTTCAGATGTCCATACAATCTTTACAAATCTTGACCAGAACAAACTCGGATCTCTTAATTAATAGATATGTGATAGAGGTGCCATGGAGGAGTGACAAATATCTAGTCATTTTTTTTAATTTTGGCCTAACTTTGCCGTTGATTTTTGACTGTGTTGCTAGAAATTTAACTGTGGCGGAGCTGCCAAGTTTTATGGCATTCTACTAGTATGTTTAATGACGAGCACAAAGTAATAATATCGCAGCATTATTAAGGCTTGAAAAGGGGGCGGGGCCTAATTTATACGGAAAAAGTTTACTGTGACGTCACACAAAAATATGACTTTTATGTATTTCTAATAATACCTGAAAATAAATTAATTGCAACTCTTAAGTGTATTAGCATAATAAACAACAATACAACTTATCAATGCATTAAAAAACAGTTGCTAGTTAAATCCCATGTAGCTGGTAATAAACAAAGCACTGATAGCGATGAACTTGTAAACATGACGTCATATTAGTAAAAATGACCTATTTCATGTGCTGTGAGAGGCAGATTGAGGAATTTTTTAACAATGAAAAATGCGTGTTATTATTTAACTGAATATTATTTACAGGTTTTAAATAGTCCATTAATACCAATGTATATACCTTGTTTAGTGCGATTATGAGTCATCTATAAAGAGAATGTATTTTATTAAATATGTCGTGTTTTTATTTACAGGCTACGTATATTTTACATTGAGATGCCTCATAAAATCGTACTTTCGCAAAGGCATACACTGCATAGATCTGAATCATTTTTCTAATATAGATAAAGGATATTTTCCTTAACTTGAAAAGTGTTGCTGCTTTCTTTAAATCGAGGGTGTGATTTTATAAGTACACAAAATATTTGGTAAAAGTCAAACATATTTCGACATTGGCCTATTTACTTGAAAATTTAACTATTAAAAAGCGAATTCTATTCAAAGCAGCAGCACTTTTCAGAAACTACAAAGTATGCAGAAACAATTACTAGCTTGAATTTTTAATTTCAACTAGGATATGCCCTTGCGATATTGAAATTTATTAATGACCTACATTAAATACACGAACTATGCATTCATCACGTGACTGTCCTTCGCTGGGACTAAACTTCATACAGTACAGACTGGGTTACATGTATACCATGCTATTTCCATAAGTATTAAAGTTATGTGATAATAAAACAGCTTAATTAAAATAAATTGTTTTAAAAAAATCTGCTTTTCTGCAGGTCTATTTTCCGTTGATTTCTCATAGTAGGCCTTAACAGTGCTGCGATATTCATATTTGTGCTGATAAAAACCGAATACAAGGTTTCTAATAATGTCGTGGAGCACAAAGCTGATATAACTAGTTGGAAGGGAATGCTCACTCCTCCATGGCACCTCATCCACCTCTAATGCTTTAGAGTTCCATGTTTGTTGTGCTCCTGATTTGTTTGTTAGAATGGACTACTGTTTTTGGATAATGTTCGTTATCTCAATGTTTCATTTTAAATCTCAGCTTAAAATAGGAATATATTAGAATGGCTTTTGTGATTTCTTTGTACTTTATGTAGACAAAAAGACCCTGGCTTGATCTTGCTACTAAATCAAAACAATCGAATTAGAATAAGTATTTTTCTTTATTTTCGAAAAATGTTGCTGAAAGCAGAAGCTGCACACTTCGTATTTAGCTGTTTATCATACATGAGCATCAGTTATTATTCATTGACGATTTCATATTGATTAACATAAAGTTAAAAAAATAATAAGTCTCACCTTTTGCAACCTTAATAGGAAATGTGACTGTATTCAATCGCATCTTTTTGCCATTTTATGAGGAATTGTGATTACATTTCTCAGCTTTGACATGTTTATAACACATTATTGCTACAGAGGAGAGAATGTTGTTAGTTTAACAGGTGCTTTTCATTATAGAACTGAATTTTCATTTTACGAGAAATTGTGTTTACATTTCTCAGCTTTTACATGCTTATAACACACTAATACTACAGAGGAGAGAATGTTGTTAGTTTAACAGGTGCTTTTCATTATAGATTTTACAAGAAATTGTGATTACATTTTTCAGCTTTGACATGTTTATAACACACCATTGCTACAGAGGAGAGAGAGTGTGTTAGTTCAGGTCCTTTTCAATATAGAACTGAATTTTAATTTCATAATATTGCCTCTTTTATATTTCAAATAATTATGGGTGTTTGTATCACCAACTTTCAAATTGAAATTAAAACGATATGATTCCATTAACACACTACAAAAAAGCCGTTCTTACAGAAATAATCCTGTTTATATGGAAATGACTTTTGAAAGCCATTTTTGAAATCATGATATATAAAATGAAACCTAAATACATGTAAGACATAGACTTAACTTCTTTGGGGGTTATGTCAAGATTTAGAATTACAAAATGTATGTGAATAATATCAGAATTGTTATTCTATTCCGGAAGGTTTAATTTAACACACCTACAAAAATGTGTTTATTTTAAGATAGCAAATTCATAATTTCGGATATTGAATTTATATCTACTGGTTTAAGCACATCTTAATTGAAGCAGAATGCTAAGAATAACTATTTCTAGTTTCTTGTTTTTTTTGTGTGTGTGTTTTGTCTAATATTTGATTTTTTGAAGTTGTGCCACGTTTGGTCTAGCAAAGAAATCCAACAAATCAAAACACTACCTTCAAACACGATATCCACGGTCAGTGAAAAATCAGAAAAAGAAATCAATTTGATGCTTTTGGTAAAAAAAATTTCTTACCAAAAGCATAAAAAACCCTATAATGAAAAGATTTTCTGCGGAAATATTTAATTTTATGATTTTCACTCAAGGGAAAACTTAAGGAAGGAAAAAGTCAAAGAAATATTTGATAAGAATGTGTTAGAGTTTAGTTTTATATTAATGCATAAAAAAAGACTCAAGGATAATATGTTCGATTTGTGATGTAGAGAAAGACATAAAATTCCTTATTAATGATTGACGTGTAGTAATACCAATTTTGAGTAAAATAACATAGCTTTTCAATATAGATGTGTCTTGGAAAATTATTATCATTTGTTTTCCACCATATTGTATAAAAATACGTTCATTTAAAACAATTTATTTTCCTTCATTACATAAACATAAAAAGAAATGTAGACTTTAAAGTGAAATTATGACAAATGAGTTTATTGTATTTCTTTAAAAATGCACTTACTCAGTTCTATTTCATAAAGAAAATATCAAAAAGTATTGAATGTGATTTCAATATCATCAAAGACTTGTCAGAAAAAAAAAATTGTTACATTATATCTTTATCCAAAGGTGACCTGGCCTTTGAAGTGTACAATCGTTGGGGGGAGTGCGGACTTTATGCGTTGGTGTCCCTTTACGATGATCTCTTTAAAATTATTCTGTTCATTTCTTAATACTTAATACATTGTATATACATGTGTGAAAATGTTATCTATTATGTTATTACATATAAGTGTATTTTTTCAATGGTTCTATTTTACTTAAGTGTGTTTAAATACTCTTAAATGATCTCCGCATCAAAATACATGTATATTAAATATTGAATGTATTTTAATATAAATATTGAATTCTTTTTATCTGATACAGGGAGCTGCTGACACCCAAGGTGATGATATATATGAAAGGGCCTCTGAGAAGATATTACCTCCACTTTTTTGTAAACGGATTATTGAAATAATTCTTTTTAAATAAATTGTCAATAGTGCTAGGTTTTCCTTACCTATGAAAGTAAAGCACAAGACATACATAGTATAATCAATGAATCATTAATGTAGTTAAGGCCACATGAAGAATTTCACAAGAAGAAAGTTCTCTTTCTAGCAAAGGTATTCTAGGTATAAAATAATCATTGAAGTTAACAACATTGACATTATTATATCTATATATGATTTAAAGAGTAGCTGAATATTAATTAGTTTAATTGAGATTAATGAAGTGAAACGAAATAAAAGAAGCAATTTTAATTTACAAATTTATTGAATGTTGATTTTTCATAATTAAAATATATTGGGAGCAAATTACAGGTAAAAAATCACATTACATGAAATTTTCTCTGAATGTACGCAACTTTTGCCCTGAGATCATTTTGTACATTTTCCTTCGTTTAAGCTAATGCGTATGCAACAGTACATTTATTCAACCATGGAATAAGATAAGACTATATTTACAATAGTTCTAGATATAATGAGTGATAATGCTATATAGTAAAGACGACATATTGTATGCGATTCGGCAAAAGTAATCTTTGTCATTTTAATGTGTGTATCGACAGGGTAAAATAAGCACACCACAATGAAAGGTCTGTTACAGTTAACGCTTCTTGTTATGGATTATAACCTGATTATGTCGGTTTCTAAGTTTGAGGGAGTAGTTGACCCAGTTATCCAACAGGTGAGTAAATCTTTGATAAATACATTATTTAACACAATTCCAGTACCTTCTCTTAATGAATACAGTGAAAACGGTAGGAATGTAGTATTTCATCTAGCATTTATGTTGACGACGGAATTTTTCCGTTATTTCCCGAACATGACATATACCACACAATGGATGTGACCGGTCCGCAGGGGATACTCACTCGTCCATGGCACCTGATCCGACCTCTGATGTTTTAGAGGTCCATTTTTTTGTCATCCTATTTTTTTTATTACTTCTATAGACTTTTGTATTGAATACTTTTCGATATCTCCATATTCTTCATTACAGGCCTTAGCATGTCATCCGCGGATCCCTGGACTAAGTGTAGCCGTCGTCAAGGACAACAAGGTATTGATCTCCAAGGGATACGGATTGGCCGACCTACAAACTAGAACACCCGTCACAGAATTCACTTTATTCCGATTGGCGTCAATAACTAAAGCCGTTTCTGCAACATTACTGGCGAAGCAGCTTCATGAAAATCCAAAGCAAGTATATACAAATACGTATTCTTTTTTTGGCACTTGTACACACCATAAAAACGATGGTTTTATGTCTATTTTTTTTCAAATTGTACATACATAATTATATAATGTTATACTAATAAAATTTTCTCTCAATCGCATTAAACAGATTTATTTTTCTTAATTTTCAGCTACAACCTTTACACTCACTTAACTAGTTTCTACGATAGCAGTTTTAAATTTTCCACCACAATTAGAACAGAGAATGCCAACATCCGGGATATTTTGTCACATGCGCTCGCCATTCCTAAACACAATTTTCTACGATTGAATCCGAGGCTTAACAGAACGAATTTTCCAAGGCAAGTACAGATTCATTCAAATAGAACCTAGCTCATTTATACTCCCTTGTGCTCCTCGCACTAAGCTAAAAATAGGCCATCATCAGTTGTCTTATTCTTGGTCACATATAGACATAGCTTTTAAATGTCTGTAGTTTAGTCCATCATTCATACATTGAAATGACTACGGATATCCCCGTTATTTTCTCATCATGACAAGGAGCACACGGCGAGTGTGACCGGTAGACAGGGGATGCTCAAGCCTCGATGGCACTTGATCCCACCTCTGATGGTTTGGAATGGACTTTGACGTGTTTCTTGAATACTATTCGTTATCTCAATATGTTTCATTTAGCTAAAATATCCTCACGAAGAGATCAGTTCTTTTTATATGATTCATGTTTCCTTTTGGAAAAATAATAGAGTTTTCATATTGCAATATATACGAGGGTTGATCCAAAAGTTTGTGGAATTTCTTTCTAAAATTTCATCGTGATTTCAAAAGGAAACAATAGGCGTATTTATAAAATAGAGTCATAATGCGAGAATACTGGAAAATTTCACCGCGTTCCAGTTACCACTAAGGTCGCACGAGCTTTCCGAAAATAGATAGTTGTGAAACCCGGGGGAGACTTCTACGTAACGTCAAGTAAGGTATCGCACGTCACGTTACAGAAGCATCTCACCCTATGTCAAATTCGAACACGTAATTCTACAAAAATGCTGTCCTTTTCTTAATTTTCCCCCAAGAAAAGCCTGGGTATCCTCTCGCACAAATTTATCTTCATTTTTCACTCATATTTCAATATACCCCCATCTTTCCATATGATGTTCCGATTTCGGTAGCACTGTCAAGAACAGTACGTCCTCTGACAACGTCCATTAACGTTTTTAATTTGTCTAGAGCAATAAACACTTGAACCAGAGCCTCAACAAGGCGGCCACACTTTTAATCAACGTCCATAGAAGTCTATTTTTTCTTCAATTTCTTACGCCACTGGAAATCCAGTTACAAAATGCATTTTTTCCAAGTCTATGTCAATGATATACGCGTTTAAGATAGAGTGATCCCAGGATTTTCACAAAACTTATGACTTGACCGAAATTTTACGTTGTCTTACAGCCTAAATATGAACAATATATTATCAAATAATAAACTGAATTTCAAGTAAAATCAATAAAACTGACACACATAGAGGTTTATAAAAGATCAAGTAATCGTTATAATGATATAATTTTCGTTTCCCTAACACAAAGGGCGATTTTATTCTCATTTCAAGTATTAAGAATTAAATTGATAATAAACGCGTTGATGTCTCCCCCGCATTCCCAAACAATCATTTCTATGGCAACTACCATATGCTTACTATCGCAAATATTTAAAATATTTTTTTTTAATTTAAAATATTCAACAAGTGTCAATATTCTCATATGTAATTTTCCACCAATTTCACTTTAAAATGAATAAAATATAAAGAAATTCCACGAATTTTTGGATCAACACACGTATATAGTTTGGATCTCTGGTGTTTAAATTTGTCATTGAAAAAAAAATCATCTATTACGAAAACTTCATCCGTGTTGATTTTTTCTTGTCGCTTAAGGAATACATGTTTTCATAATACTGGATATTAACTTATTGGAAATTCTTCATATAAAACGCTTATATAACGCTTAGATAAAGTACATGTATATGTAAGGAAGCAAATTTAAGAAACTCTCGAGCATTATTACTTTGGTATAGTTTTGAAACTTGACAAACTATTTGCCATTTATTTTACCTTTTATAGAAATAATCAGCCATATGGTTTTTATTGACATCACAATGTTTTTACTAGTTGATATCTCTTATCTTTCAATTTATTGCAAAAATGTTGTTTGTATTTTAAATACAGGTTATAAATAGAATGGTATACCAGTATTAGTAAATTGCATATTTCCTACTTTCTCAGTGTAATGAAGAATCTGAAGTCAGTCTATCCTTTCCGGGAAACATACACGTACACAAACATTGCCTTTGGTTTGTCAACAACAATTTCAGAGAAAATTGGTGGGAAATCCTGGGAGGATCTGGTACGAGAAGAACTTTTTTCGCCCCTTGGAATGCATTCTTCTACATTCTTTTCGGAAACAAGGGGCACTAATCACGTCGCTAAAGGTTACATCGATGACGTCATAAAATCCACATCAGTCCCTGTTCCCTCAGTCCTTTTCAGGTAAGTTCTGCTACTATTAAAGTTATCATAAATGATTAAGATATCTATGTTTTAACCGAACGGTTTTTTAATGATGTTTTTCTAACCTGTTCTATAATCGACTAAGTAATACTACATGTAGTCCCCTACCGGCAAATAAAATTTGGTTCCTATTAGAAATTGATAAAGAAGAGAATGTTGAAAATGATAAACAAAGATAAGGTGAGAATTCCGCAAAAATCAGTATTGTAGAATTAACGCACACTTGATCTGTAACTCAAAAGTACCAAAACTAAGCTCGAAATTTACAAACATGAAGAAAAAAGTACGTTAAACCAAGTAGGGTAGACTGGGAGAAAACTTGAGAACAGACAGACGGAGAGCCAAGGAGAAGAGAAGGTAACCAACAGTCCTTCTCGTTCGAATAAACACGGTGTATGATTGTGAAAGGTCTGATACCAATTTTCAGCGGCCATGTCTATGCATACATTTTCTCGAGGTCTCTTCGATTTCAAAGATTCAAATTCTTAAGTCTCTTTTTGTCTTGCATAAATGAAAAAATGAATACAGGAAGTTAGTTTTATAGCTTATATGACCTTTTTTTTAAAAGGACAAGCAATACAAGTTTTGCAAGTAAACACAATTCTCGAAAGACTCTTACGTACGACACTCATCGTTTTAATTACATGTACCAGCTATTTTTGTTAAGCTTCATTGACATGTTTAGAAAATATAGATGTATGTATCTGTATATTAAAGAAGTAAAAATTAACAATCCTCAAACAACATTTCTAGCTTATTTAGCTCAGAAAAAAGGACAAATCCTTACTACATCGGTTTATGGATCAACTTACGTGACATTTCAATCATATTTTGAAATATCCTTATTTATTTTGCTTCAGTAAAGAACCAAATTCTAAGGCCTTCTTACTGATCACAATGCGTAAAAATTCATTGAAATAACAGAGTTACTTCCATATTTTACAGTTCTTGGGAGAAACTATGCAGTTCAATATGCCTAATGAGTAATGCCCATGATATGGCGAAGTGGATGAAATTTCATCTCAGTGGGGGATTGAACGAAAGTGGAAGTCGTGTAATGGCGCAGGACACACTGAAATCCACATATAAGGCACGGAATTCTATATCTTCCTCTGGCATAAGTGAATATTTTTCAAAACCCAAGGTCCCTCACACAACAAGTGAAGATAATTATGCTCTTGGATGGCGAAATGGACATTATAGAGGTAATGTTAAAACCTAAATTTTATGTTTTTACATACCATCACTGTGCTGCTTTCATATAAAGCAAGAAATTTAATTATAATTTAGATTATTTCAGATTCCCTTTAAATCAAACAAACAATATGGATGAAATTTTGCTTGTTCAATATGGCGCTTCTGGCCGCTAATTAATTTGCTGGGGTTGCCACAGGGTTGCCCCGCAATCAACAATCAATACAACAAATGTGACGACCCAAATCTCTAGGGCACTTGCAATCAATCTTCGATAGAAAATATCGATGAATATTTTGCTCAAAACTTTGAAATATTCAATTAATTGAAACTGTATTCCTTTTCTCTCAGGAAAGTGGACAAAATTAATTAAAATAGATTTTTTTCTTACAGAGTATAAAATTTTACGTCATACCGGAACAATACTTGGATTTTCGTCTCTTATAACCCTCATACCTGAGATGAATATCGGAATCTTTACAACAATGAATGGGCAAGACTCTGATTATATTTTTCGAACTCTTCTTCACAACTACTTAGCAGATATTGCATTGGGGGAAGATGCATGGCTGAACTCCAGCACAATTTGTTCTTTTCCAAATCCATGGTACTCCATGCCGTCAGAAGCGAGTCACACCATCAACAAATCTCAAAAGCTTTCGAGATCTCCCTCAGCATACGTCGGACATTACCATAACAATGCATACGGGGATTTATATATCTTTTCAAACACTTCCACGGGAATTATTGTCTTAAAATACGGCATTGCAACTTGGAACTTGTATCCTAAGCATTCACGAGACCAGTTTGCAGGGGAGGGTTATGGAATTCTAGAAGACATCTCTCCATACAATCTTGGTACGATTAAATTCCACCACGATACCCATAGTTCTAATGCTATTACCAGCGTAGAAGTTACCAGTTTTGAACCAAAAGATCCACCGATCTTCAGCAAACTATCAAACGCTGTGGGGTCCAGTATCATTTTTGGAAAGTAAACTCTTTTATTATTAGACGTGTAACATTTTTTTTTCTCGAATTCCTTCAATATGTGGATTTTGTATTAAAACATATTATACTTATAAATGAGTTCTAGTATCAAAGTTGTGAAAATGTTCTTAAATTACATAAATTTATTTCTACATACATTGAAATTATACCAGTGATCGTCTAAGACATTGGTCTTTTGTTATTACATAGCAATTCATGGGCTTTAATGAGTAACCAGATTAAAAAAAACTAATGAATTGGAGAAAGAAACGATTTTTAAATTCTAAACATTTTATGAACCAGTAGAGTTGTTGTATTTAGTGTTGATTTTCTATACAGAACCTATGAAAAATGAAAAAAAAAGAATCTGGATTTTTAGGAGGGAGTGCATTTTATCTCCATGATCCTCCCCAGTATCCCTCTTAAAAAAAAAAAGATTAGTTTTAGCATGTTCTTTTTATTTACTTTTCTGTATATTTTTATATATCATGCTGAGTAGTTCCAAGAAGCCGTTATTACTGGCTATAGCATAGTTTCCATCGATCTCATATGGTATCATTCCCAACTAATATTAACAAGGCACAATAAAAGTGGCCAAATCTACTTGATCTGCGCATATGTTTTCACGCAGCGACGTTTCAGTTTCGTCACAGTACGACTGATATCCGTTACAACTGCGGACTGTAACGTCATAGTTAAAATGATGTCAAATTGTGTGAAAATATTCTACTGTATACAGGGAAATTTTCTCCCCCATTTCATTTACGCCCCTTTTGCCCTCGTTGAAAGTGGGCGAATTAAAAATGGAGTGAATTGAAAGTCAAGAGAATAATGTCTTAAACAAAAATCTTTCTGGGCGAATTTAAAACGGGGTAAACTTGTTTCCGAATATGTAAGGGCGAAAATAACACGTGGCGAAAACAACCCTATGTACAGTATACAGATTTACCTTGTATGCATTGGACTGCGCATGTTTAAAGCTCGCTCCTTCTGGTATTTCAATTAAATTACATGTTCTACAAACTTTTTTTTTTATAATAAACAAAATGGAAACTTAATCTGTTTTGATATTTCAATTTCTACTGACGGATTCGTTAATTCTATTTTCTTTTATTTAATTTTGTGAGTTATAATAAAACAATACATTGCGACCAAAAGTAACCGATTTTAGTTTTTCTCCTTGAACATGTTGTAATGCTTACACATCCTTTTTATTGAGGAGTTAAATATGCATTCATTAGCTTAAGTTTCTAAACTTTTATTTCTGTGAATCATTTTAATGCACCCCTCAAAAATATGTTTTTTTCTCTATATTACATATGCATGATGCTATAATTCTACTTTCGCATTTTTAAAAGAAAAAAAAAAACATTTGACTTAGTCAATCTATATTTAAAAAAACAACATTTGATTTAACATTTTGTAACATTTCAAAATGGTTAACATTTGGTGACTAAATTGAAATGTGAATTAACTTTGGTGACTAAGAATGATTTCTTTTTTTTTGTAATTATAAACAATATTTGCATTACTCATAAATACTATGTATGCCCTACAGTATTCTCGTTAGGAAAAAGAGGGCGGCAAGTTTAATTTTTTATTAGTTTAATTAATATCATACCTAATGCTTCATTTTTTATATAGATTGAACAAATCTTAACGTTTTATCAAAATGTTCTTTTTTATATGACACAGGTGCATAGTCTTCATAATGGAGTATATTGAAAAGAGATTGCCGTAGAAAGGGTGTTAAGAAAGTTCATTTCATATTTTACTTTTACTTCCGAAAAGAAATTCGATGAAATTATCAAGTTAGTAAATACATGTAATTTTAAAATTACAAACCTAGCTATATTTTTTTGAAAAAGTAATCCACCATTCTTATACCTACGCTCACCAGCTTGTTTGATACAAGATATATAGGCTACACATGTCAAATCTAGTAAAAGTGAAATCAGATTACAATTTAAATTAAAACTTTGAATGATCATAGAACTTGTTCCTGGGTAATTTGTTTTTATTATTAATTAGTAAAACAAAATGAAGTTTTCCTAACACTTATTTCAGATACACTTTAGGTGAATTGACAGCTCGTCCAGAATGATGGAAAAGAAAGAAACATGTACGATAATAATTTTCTTGTTCATTGTCTTATAGAGTACAAAGAAATTATGTGTGAGTCCATATTTTTATACATGTTGGTTAAGTTTGCAAAATCAAAGGGTTTTCATCGATTTCCTCTCAGACGACTCTGCTCGATCGAGAATAACAGGAAGTATATGACTAGGGCGGAGATGCAAATTAAATAGCTACTGTATTTCTTTTTCCACAACTGTTATTTTCGTAACCAAATATAAGTACTATAAATACTTCCGCAGGGCAACTTTCATTTTAGTGAAAACACTTCTTTCGGTTTAATCGACTCGTTTATTTCAAGAATGGTGCGTAGTTGCAGTGTGTACATGTGTACTAATCGGGACGATGCAAGAGGAAAAGAGAAGGGGATAAGTTTTTCAGGTGAATTGAAGGGTATTTGCTTCATTTTTATCCAAAATTCATATCAGAAGCGTAGCCCTTTCAAAGAGGGCTTCATAAGCTCTGCATGTGAAATGATCGTGCAATCAATATAACTGTGTAAATTATTATCGGATGACGTTTTTTATTGCTGTCAAACAACTTTAAATCACAATATACAATGTTTAGTCTATGTAAATAAGATTTTATTATCTTTTTCACATACACACAGTCTGTGTCACAGAGCTTATTAGTGCAAATGTACCAATGTGCGTCAATACTACATAGAACATTTTTGATTTTGTATAAATATTTATGTTAAGATTCCCCAAAGATGCTAAGAAACGCCGACTTTGGTTGAGGGCACTGAATCGGGATGGATTTGTACCCAGTGAGCATTCCTGTGTGTGTTCAGAGCACTTTGTGTCTGGTTGGCACAGTGATGACCCCTCGGATGAGAATTACGGTTCGACTATATTCTTATACAAGGAGAAGCCTGTTGATGCTGAGAGACAGAGCCGAGCAGCCAGAAGGAATATACAGAAGGTAAAAAGGTGTTAAATTTATGAATTAAATCTAATATATGATGTAATTAAAGAGAATCATGATTAGCATTTGCATTGGTTATACATGTACATGTATGACAATCCTATTCTGGTATTTACTATTGTACCTAGAGCTCCATTTTTGTCTTTAAAATAGAATTTGATATCATCAACATCCCCAGTGGACCAGCCCATGCATTTTAAAAAAAATAATTTGATTTGAAAATTTATAAATTTAACATATACAATCAAACAAGCATTTGTAAATCAGTAGTGAAAATGCACTATCAGCTGAACTGAAATTAAATTTTATATGTAAAATGTAGGATTTTAGAGAAGCAGAGTACAGGCAGAAGGAGCGAGAGGGTAAGCAGTTGAGCTTTTCCTTGTTCAGCCACTCGTCTTACGCGAGGAGTGAGAAGGAAGAAGGCCAGGATCCAGAGAGAGAGGAGGCGGAGCAGGACGACGTTGACATTGGGGTCAAGCACACAAGAGATATGGGTATGATAGCTGCCCATGAGAATTGAGATTTAATCAAAATGCATTTTTATGCATCTCTGTCCAAAACTATGATATTACACATTGTCATTCATAACTTATCATTTCTACATAATACAATTATGCTCTATTCAATAAAGAAAATGATCATTTCTTAGAACTGATAAATAAACTTGATATGAGCCAAGACAATACTTGTATGTAGGAGACAAAGTAATATTAAATTCATGTGTATTTCTTATTGATATTGATAAGGTTCCAATGTATTTACAACCTGCCTCAGACTATATTTTCTCATGATACATGTACCATTCAATATAGGTGTACAGTGTGATCCAGACCCACTGTTACAAGAGAATATGGCCTTGAAAGCTGAGCTGAGGAGGTTACAGGGTCATAAGTGTCGGCTGACAAGATAAAGGATGATGACACCAAGACAAAATTCTACACTGGACTGCCTAGCTTTGCAGTTTTTATGTGGCTATTCAAGTAATTGATTAATCTAAAATTTAAGCAAAAATTATCAAATTTAAATTGTATAAATTGATTTGCTTACACTTTAACAATGTGTTTGTATAACTTTGTAGTTAATTTAACACTTAGTCTAGCTGTATTTTTCAAAGAATATTTGAATTATTTAGAAAATGTTTTATTACTATATTTGTGTTTTAGACTTGTAAAAGCACACTTGTATTCATTGGAAATATTATGTAACTAAACTCTAAAATGACATCTTTAAAAAATAAACTGTACATACAAATAAAATAACATATAAAATCTATATATGCAGCCACCTGGTGCCCAAGTGCAAAGAGATGGTGTACTGGAGAGGTTCTTCTGCTACCCCTGGAGAGAGGACACGACCGAGACGCGCGATGTCATTGGAGCTTATAGATCAGTTTCTTGCCACGATGATGTGACTTAAAGTTGGATTATATGTTGAAGCTATTGCTGAACGCTTTGGTATGTGTTTGAGCTAATAGCCTTATCAGGATTTTTTTCTTCAAAATTTAAGTGTTATAGTGATAATACATCACATGTAAACTAATAAGAATAATATTAAAAAATATATTATTCAAATATAAAAAAGGCATGAAATTTACATTAAAAGATCTGCCAACTCTTCAGAGATATTGTACCATATAATGTTGGAATTTTTAGTGTGACATAAATGTAGCAATTTTTCCTTAAAAATCAGTATTTAATTTAGACCAATGTAATTTAATCAATTTAAAGGTGAACAGAAAAAAATGGTAATTTCTAATGGGGAATAATTTGTTAGTGATATTTAATATTTGCTATCTCAACACTCTTGCTAAAAATGCCAAAATTGTATCCTCACAATTATTTTGGGCAAACAGTATTTATTTTTTAGGAGTGTCGGTGGGGACCTTCTCGCAATACTTCACTACCTGTGTGTGCCTGCTGTTCCAGGAGCTGAGACCGTTGAACCCCTTTCCATCTCGGGACATCATTCCAAGGAACATGCCTTCTTGTTTTCATTCTTTTCCAAATTTAAGAGTTATTTTAGATTGTACAGAAATATTTGTTCAGAAATCAAGCAGTCTTGTTAATCAGAATTTGTCTTTTTCACATTATAAGCATCACACAACTGTTAAATTTCTAATTGGCATTACTCCATCTGGTGTTATTTCTCTTGTTTCAGAAGGATTTGGTGGTAGTGTCTGATCGACAGATGATTGAGAAGTCCCTACTCTTGGGCATGCTGGAAGAAGGGGATGGGGTTATGGCAGATAAGGGGTTTACTATTGCAGACATGCTAGAGAAAAAGGGTTGTACTTTAAATATTTCTCCTTTTCTTTCATCTTCCTCTCAGTTTTCTCCTCAAGATGTACTTAAAATAGCAAAACTTAGAAGACATGTTGAAAGAGCTATAGGCCGTGTAAAGAATTTTCATATATTTGATGGTGTACTTTCTCTTTCTTTAGCCCCATTAGTTACCCAGATGTTTTCTGTCTGCTGCTGGATCACCAATCTTGATGTGCCTTTGGTTGACAGTTGAAGGTGAGTACTAATTTACAAAATCAAAACTTAAAGAAAGTACCTTATTTGATGACATTAAAAAGCAAATCAGAAGTAAAGTTGTTCCAAGAATTAACACAAATGTTCAGTGAAGAATTTAATATATTGTTGCAGGGTGGTTTAGCTATTAACAGACTTTTTATTTTTCCTTAGCTTAAAATATTCTTACCATTTTTCCTTAGCTTAAAATATTCTTACAACTGAGTTTGAAATATGTCAAATTTTTACTGAATTTAATTATAATATGTTGAACAATTTAGCTTTCACTTCACTAAACATTTGATATTAAGTTTTGAAAATTTAATTTTTAACATAAGAAGGTAAATATGTTTTACAAAAAATTCAACAAGTTTGGGCATCATTAAGGACACAAATTTTGCATACAAAAAAATTCTTTCAATAAAACAGTTACTTTGTTTTGCATTTGTCCATACAACAAAATCTGTCCATGCTGTTCCCATTATTGCCATTTCCCCTTGAACTTGAGCATAGTATCGATGGTCACGCCTCAGTCTAGGACCCCTGTCAGTGGGCTCTAGGCAAAATCCCATTTGACCAACAAGTTCATGGACCTCCTTCTCTGTAATGTTATGGCCAGACAGGGAGTAGGGGCACTTGACCTCCAGAACACCTCGTTGGTTTTCTTCAGGAAGGGAGTGGTCAATCACCCATCCATCAGATGCTCCGAGAAAAGCATGTGAGGGGTATAATGTAATACCTGAGGGTGTCAGTTGCATGTCTGTGACAGCACTCTGTAACATGAGGTAGTCCTCAATGGCATCCTTCTCATGATCAATGCCCCACTGGACAGCATTTGGGAGTGTTGTATATCTAAATAAGATTTTAATGGAAAAAGAATTAGTCATGGTAAAGATGTCATCTAGTGATCAAGTGCAGACCCATGAATATTGTCATCTGTTGTTATGAGCATTTACCTGTCTAAGTTGGATCCATTAATGATTTGGTCTACTAAGCTGTGGGGGGTGTCTACAGAGTTAAGGATGGCACCAAATACCGAACTAGTAATCCTGCCTTTGTGGAGATCTTTCCATGTCTGGCATAGCCTTTGTCCTCTTGTCCTCTCCTCTATGTATTGGCTAAGACCTCCCTCAGTTGAGATTGGCAGAGGTACTATATAAGAAATGATTATCATTTGATGTAATAAATATCTATTATAAACAACATTAGAAACCAAAAATAAAATACTGTAAGATATTTGCCATTGTTTAATATGATCTGATTTTTTACTTACAGTTTTCTTCAGACAGGATCAGAGCTTTCATTTCTCTTTCTAAAGGATCTTCAGTTGTGCTGATTTCCACCTCACTTTCCATGTCCGGGGCTTCATCTGGGATGTTCCATAACTGAGCCATGCCTGAGATATAAACACTCGTGAATAATTCATTTGTTGTGCATGCATTATACACTTTTTTAAAAGTGTTTGTCATATGCTATATTATAAATAAATTATTTGTGAATTGAGATTTAATCTTTGTATGTTTTTCCCCAATGATGAGCATTTACTAAATAAGTTACGCTAAAAGAAAACTAGTGCTAATTGTAACGGGGACCGTTACAGATGTTCCCCAAACGCTCCCCAACTCCCTTTTGGTGCCATATTCCCTGTAAGCTTCATTAAATAGGACAAAATCTATGCATTTGAGACTTTAACAACGCCAAGTTCATTCAAATTTAAGAATTGCACGCGTGCGCATGTAAATGCATGTGCATAATGACCATACCATCTTGTCTATTCAATCTATACATTTTAATATACTAAATATTAAAATGTTAAAGTGTATTTTTGATTTAACTCATTTCACGTGCACGCACGTGCATACATGAGCATGATGTCCATATCTTCTTGTAGACGTCCATTACATCTCTCTATGTTCTAAATCCCACTCCGTTTAGTTGAAAACCAAAGCAGTTATAGCTGTTTAAAGTTTCAGCAAATCAGATTACAGCGCAAGCACACGCACGTGTATGCATGTGCATGGCGACCATATCATGTTGTAGAAGTTCATTATATCTATCTGTGTTACAAATCCCATCCTGTTTGGTTGAAAACCAAGGGAGTTATAGCTATTTAAAGTTTAAGCCAATCAGATTGCAGCGCACGTGCATGCACGTGATTTTATGACAAATGCTATATATCATGTTGAAGGATATATTAATGCATGGCTATGTACAAAATTTCATAGGATTTCGTCGAAAAACAAGAAAGATATAGAGACTTTAGTTTCAGCCAATCAGAACAAAGCGCACGTGCATGCGCGTGAGATCTTGCTATTTTGACCATGTCATCATGTCTATACTACTAATAAATAATCAAATTATGAGTTTCAAAGCATTTGATCAAAAAATAAAAAGTTACGGCTGTATCTATTATATTGGTCATTTCACGTGTTGCACGCGCACACTCTTGCAAGCACGTGCGCGCAAAATGACCTTGACTAGGCAATTCTACATAACATGTCTACTAACCCTAAACAGGTTTTACCTACATCGGATGAACAGTTTACAAGATCATTCCAGGACAAAAAAGTACCCAGGAAGAAGAAGAAAAATAATAATAATAAGAAACAGAGTAAAAACAATATGTTCCCAAACTTCGTTTGGGGAACATAATAAAAATAAAAGGTTACCGGTTTTGGGAAACACATTTCTGAACAGCTTCAGTTGATGCATGGATCTGGAAAGGTCAAAAGACCTTTGATCAGGGTGGCGTGGGTCAAAATGGATTTGTTTCCTCTCCTTGAACTCAACCTCCCCTCACTCGCCTAGTTTAGGTCTACCAAAATTCCACTCTTTGAGAGGCTTTGGTTGCATCTTTATTGGTATGGGTACGCTCCACTGACAGGATTTTGATGTAGAGCTGTCGGCACTCAGGACCTGACTGAGGTAGAGGTGATGGAGATACATTAGTAATCCTCCAATGTGACTGCATGATTGTGCTAGCCTAAAAATGAATGAAAGGAGTTTTAAAAGATCTACATAATTTATATAGTAATATATTACAATGTGTGTTTTAGACATATATTGCATAGGCTTGTCTATCCAGATGCAAACTTATTCCTTACCCAATAGGACATTCACAGTATGCATAGCATACTTCCCCCCTGTCCAGCAAACAAATGTAGACTTTATATCGAACTTTTTTCATGGATGCCAAACAAAAAGCTCTAATGTATTCCAAGGAGTTGTCAATCTGAAAATTCAATTATGACTATTTTTATTAAATCATATGTATACATAAATAACACATAAATGTGTATGTCAGCAAAACCAGGTACGCAGTTGTACATTTTTTACAGTAGTATCTTTATGTATATTGCAGTACCAGTAAATATTATCAATATCTCATTCATTATAAATTAGCTTAAAATTTCAATTCAGAGAATGGGAAATGTTGAACAAAGGACCAAATTACTAGATATATAGAAGTATATACTTTGGAAACAACAAAAGACAATTGATTTATCAAAATTGTAATCTTTTAAATACTATATTGGTAACTTTGTAATTCCGTTCGTTTTTTTATGTGTATGGTCATGTCATGTGTAATTATATTATATGAAAAATACAAATGAAATTGTTACCTGGGCAGTCATAATTTGTGACAAATCACCAGCTTCAAAGTGCTTTACTGCCTTGTCTACATCTTTAAAGTTATTAATCCGCTCCCCTTCTTTTGTAAGCCTCAGGACCATGTGCCGATAAATTTTTTTAAAAGAAAGTGTGGGTGTGGCGTCTGAAGATAGTGCCGAATAGGAGGCTAAAAAAAGAGGGGGGAGGTTTTCATGACCCGGAATCTCAGGGATGACACCTTCAGATGAGGACATTTTCAACTTTAATGGGATTTCAGTCGTTGGAGTGTTGACATTTTTCCTTTTTTGGCTATTTAAAATCTCCCGGTTTGCCATCTTTGTTGTCAATGTAAACACGGAAGTCCCCCGTATACGCGCAAAGAGTATATCGAGTAGCTAGTTTAGAGCTCATTTTATTATTATATTTTGTAAGAATATGTTGTTTATTTGTAGTAAAAACACAAGTTTAAAACACAAAAAATTATGTTTAAGCTAAATCATAGACAGTTTCATTTATAAACAATTTATTCTCGTCGCTTGAAATCTGTACTTTTTACGAAGGAAGTAGGCGTTGCTCAAAAATGCTTTGCCCTGCGGAAGTACTTATGCGCATGTACGGAAATTATCGTGAAACGGTCTATTGCACCAAGGTGTATCAGTTGCAACAACAAATACACACCTAAAATTGGTTCAAAATAGACCCTTTTGGCTGAGTGAAATATGTTGCTGAATAAAAAAAAAACATGGATACTTTCTTAATCACGTTTTTTCTATCGTCATATAATCGCTTATATTTCAAAACAGTGACCATTTGTATAACATGTCTTTGCGACGGTTTCAAAATTGTTTATTATATCCTAAACGTTATGAAAATTGTATTTAGTTGGTCTTTTCAACAGCAAATTATCTAAGGGTCGTGTCCATTGTTTGGAGTGCTACACTTGTATCTTTCAAATGATTATTCCGCAAATTAGTATAAAACGACGATATAAGATTTACAATAAAACAGTATTTAAATGATATTTGAGTAAACGCACGAGAACCCTTCATTGTGTAAATATATCAGATGATTCATTTATGCTTGATAAGTCTGTGAAAAACCTAACTTGTCTTAATTATTTATTGAAAAGTAGTTCCAATATCGAGATGAAGGTCACAAAATTATAATTTATTTTATATTAAGAAAGGTCTTACCAAAGGAAACATGAATGTTTTATATGAAATCCGTATCTTTTTTCTTTCAAAAATGAAGACAGAGTAAAAGTTTTATTAAAAATTTACTAGGTCAATCTTGAAGGTCAAGTTTTGGCATCAATAATCTTAATAGATTTGGAAAGTTCTTACCATAATTATCAACATAAATTTCTTATCATTATTTCAAAGTAATGAAAAAGGTCAATGTTTTTGTGAAAGACGACCCGACTAACACACTGAAAAACTGACAAACTGGAAGACCGGCATACAAAAAAAAAATTCACTGTCTCCTCGCTTCGCGTAAGCCGGGGGGGGGGGGGGTAATGGAATAGATTTTCCTTGTCGTTAAGTGATTCCAAAAAATGTAACAACAATGTATATAAAAGACATGTTCCTCGCAATATATTTTTTCATTGGGTGAATTGATACAAATCACGCGAGTCAATGCTCATGTATGACCATTTTTCTTCCGGGAACATTGACGCACGTGACGCGGTATAAATATATATTCCATCTAGCTAGAGTCGCAAAATCAAGAGTTGGTCCTGGTATCGCTGGTTAGAATTCATTTACTGCGGGACCCCAAGACCCATGCGCTTAAACCTCAATCTCTTTTTAAAGCAAAGCTGGCAAGACCAAGATCTCTCAACACTCAAAGACTCATTTGAAATTTTAGGTGCCTTAGGGAGATGTTTCTGTTAACCTTATCTATAGCTGTTTTCAATACTGCTGTACAAGGCCAGCCGCTCTATGATGAGATGTCGGATCCTTGTAAAAACCATCGAAAAAGTTATGAAATCTACAAAGGTAAGTGAATGAAATAAAATTTTAAGAACAAAAAAAAAAGATTTATGTCCACAGTGAAGACAAGTATTTAGACGATTTGTGAAAAATCTAGATAAATTCCCTCAAATAAAGAAAGAAATGACAAAGAGCACACGGCGGGTGTAACCGGTCAGGAGGGGATGCTCGATCCTCCATGGTACCTGATCCCACCTCTAATGTTTCGGAGGTCCTTGCTTGCTCTGCTCCTAATTTATAATGTTTTATGAAATTTGAGATTGAACGCAGTTCGTTATGTCCATATACTTCATAGTTAAATTTATCGAAATACATCTTTACATATCAGTTTTTTAGTTTTTTGTTTAAGTAATGTATAGAATCAGATTTGCAGTGCTTTCAATTAATCTGATAACATTGCAATTAAAATATTTAAAATTTTAAAAAATGTTAAAAATATGTATATTTTCTATTAACAGCGTATAAAAATAAATAAAATAATAAATTATAAAGATTTCCTATTAATAACGTATAATGATATTTTTTTTCAAAAATATATCGTATGAATGACTCATACGTAAGGCAAAAATTGAAGAAAACGAACAGTGATCGATGTAAAATAAATCTATGAAAATTTATATGTTTAGATAGCATAAAATTTTACCAATCAAAATTCAAGACGTGGAAAACAAAAACATACAGAGAAAATTAATAATTGTTAAAAAGTTTAATGTTAAAGTAATGTCGCAATTGAAATGGACATGGAAGATAATTTCCTCACTGCTATATTTTCATGGCAGGCTATAGTTTTTGTACAAGTGAAGTCTTATTGAACATAACAGACTAATTACCTTTAAAATACTGTCTGGAATAAAAAAGTCTAGAGGTTAAGTATTATTATTTGAATAATTTTGATAAGTGATTTGGTATAATTTTCTTTTGTCTCTGAACGTTCATTTTTTTCATTTTTTACAGAACATGTATTGTCTCTACAGTTGGAGAAGAAAAAATCACAGGAAAAATGCTGCAATGTCAAAGGTTGATTCTTTTAATTACTGATTTAATATTTTTACTATATATAAACAAGTAACACATGAACATTTAAGGTCAGCATAGAGTAAATAAAAACCCTACAGAAACTTGACTATAGAATCTATTTAGTGCATTCCGCGGAGAGCAACTATTCTCTAAAGTAAGTACTTCAATAAATGCTTTGTTTTCATAAATTCATATAAAACACAGTCAAAAAGCGGTAATTAAAATGTGCACTACCTTAAATACAACGATCTGTGGAAAATATTGCAGACGCCAAATAAAATGTATCTTAAGTAATAATAACTATTTTTTCATATATATTAAACAGCATGTCCGTCTTGTCCATATGGTTGGATATCTTTCCAAAACAACTGCTACTTATTTTTTGACACCAAAACCACATTTGATGCAGCAAAGGTGAGCCAATAAAAATTCTAAAGAGGGTCGGTAAAATCATAGCCATTTTAGACTATATTGATCTGCTTTAGAAGAAGTGCGTCATATGAAGATCGACAAAAAAATTGTCAAATTTTAAATTAAAAGACAAACGTTTTCTTTGCTAAATGATAGTTAACAGCTTAAGATATCATATAAAAATAAGTAATATTTGATGGTTAATTTATAAACCTCAAGTGCCTTTGATTTAAAACATCTTAAACACGATATTGTGTAAAATTCAGATGAAATGCTTAAGGCTTTTCTATATATGAAAGATCTTCAAAATAATACACAGTGCTTAATACTTTATAGGATATTTGTAACAGGGCCGGCGCTTATATTCTTGAATATCAAACCTGATGGGAAAAGTCACTAACAAAAACGAAAGGTATATATTTCTCTTCTCTGCTTTCTTTGAGCAATAACATTTCAAACTCTAGAAGAATAAGTAATTATGCACTACCGTAAAATGCAAAAAAAAAAAAAAAAAAAAAAAAAAAACAGTAGGGAAAAAAAATAACGGTAGTGAAAAAAATATCTGAACAAATAGGACTGAAGAAACAAAATATTAATTATTTTGGCATTAAGGTTATGAGTATATGTGGATTGGTGCGACATATGCCCATCAAGAAGGGGTCTACGTATATAAGGCTACAAGATCCAGAGTGTATTATGGGGATTGGGATGGAGGTCAACCGGATGGAGGAAGATATGAAAATTGCGCAGTAGCTTATCTATATAGCAATTGGAGGTGGCATGATTATTCGTGTAATAAAAGGTTTCATTACGTCTGCAAGAAAACCAAATAAAATTTTAGATTGAGGTCAAGATGACCTTTACTTTGTACGACCCTTATAGAAATATTTTTGTAAAATATAAATGAGTAAAACAAACGATAATTATAATAGTTTGACATTGAAAACTCAAGTTACATGCATCTATAGTGATATATTGAACGCTTATTTTTATTTTTGCTACTTTTGATATACCCATATACATATAGAATAAGGATAACCATATTTATACGCGCGCTTTGAAGAGTGTTTTCGCCTGGACCTTTTGAGACGTAAAGCAATAAAGAGTGAACGAGTATTGTCAAAGAAGTCAATCATTGCTTCAAAAGCAGAATAATTTCAACATAGATGTGAAACCTATGCACTTTTTGTCTGTATCTCTTTAAACACATTACCATTTCATTTTTTTAACAAATAAAAGTAGATACCTGAAGTCTGTCTTCTCTTTACATCTTATGTCAATTGTTTAAGAATGGATCGCACTATGTAACAAAAGACGATATTCAGTTGTCCTCATTTACGTTATTGAATAAGAGTTCTTTTTCCCAAATCCTCAGAATCGAATATCTTTGAATTCCACAGTCTTGGAAATAACATGCTACATCTATAGGAATTCCAGAAGTATTTTTATTAATACGACGGATGTCCAAAAAGTTCGTGGACAATGACGTTTTTGTGAAAACAAATCGTTCAATTTGCATCTATTGAATATCAAAATATTTCCTTTAAAAAAAAACAAAATCAGAATGGTTCAATTTTTATTTAGGAAACTTAATATTTTTGTAAAAATTGGGACATTTAAAGATCGCAGACCAGTCTGAAGTCAATCTAATTTCATTATAACGTCAAATATTTAAATTTTGACTTAACACAGTTCATGGAAACACACTTCATTTCTTTTTTCAGGCGCAACGCATTTCCAAGTGCTAACAATAATCTTTAAGTATAGATTATAATTTATTTAATTTTCAAAATTCAAATCAATGCACAAAATTTTACGAGCGTCATCTAAATAAACAGTTTGTATACAAAAACTGCACAGCCCAGTCCGACGCTGCGCTAGATTTATAACAAATTCATGAATAGAAATCTCCATTTTCAATAAATTACATGTGTTTGTAAATTTTTGTAATTTTGATTTTTGTTTAAAAAAAATATTTTGTCACTTACGTTGGTTCAACTGTATAAAGTCTATTTTTTTGATTGGACGCTGCCATGTGCGGACGACAGACCTCGCTTTTTTGTCCAGTTTTGACACATATTTGTTAGGTTTTTTCTAGTATTTGTACTGTCTATATAGTAAGCGATACTTGAGATTTCGTGAAATGATTATAGCCTCCTTATTTGTGTAACATAAATTTTTATTTTTTTTTAAATTTTTGACTTGTCTTATATAAAAAATAATCATTTTAATCCAAACACTTTATATCAGAGTTTATGTCATTTTAACCTTGGTCCGTGCGCACTATACGCGACCTTTAAAGACCCCAATTTTTACAAAATTATTTCGTTCCATCAATAAAAATCAAATAATTCTGATTTTTTTTTTCATATGAAATATTTTGATATCCAAAAAAAATTATCGAACCATTTATTTTCATAAAAACGTCATTGTCCACGAACTTTTTGGACAACCCTCGTATCTGATGCATGTATATTCCGACTTAAAAAGTAGTGCTTTGAATGCATATCAAAGGGTTTTATTATATGTCCGAAATTTAACTTGTAGTTTCCTTCTGATGTATTTTTAATTAATGGGGTTATATTTAAAAAAAAAACAAGTCTATATGAAAAATGTTAGATATGTTTTTGTCTTAAAAGACCCACTAGTCTTACTTAAAAAAAAAGCACCTAAGCGTTTTCCTCAATTTTATCTTTTTCGGCGAATGTACTATTTAATAAAAGTTCTATAGTACCAAACAGTACTATGAATATGTTCTGTTTAACGACGTTCGATCCTGATATTTAAAGTCTTAAACTTTTTTTGCCAAGTATATTTTTAGTTTCTACATACATAGCTTAATTAAAATTCACATCATAAAATGGGGGTCAATACGCTTCTTTTGGCGCTGCAGTACATTTAATATGACCTTTTTGCACTGAAATTTGTGTCTTAATCAAAAATTAAATTTTTGAAGTTTTCCCTCCAATATTTTTATCCAATTAAAGCATGAAACAAAATGAACTCTAAGTTTGTTTAAAAAGACTTTAAAATTGTGACTAAGAAAAAATTTCAAATTGCTTCGCATAATCAATTATTTGACCTTTCTGCACTAAATAAATGTGATTTTTCCGGCATTGAAAATTTAATAAGCAAGAAAATTATTTTAAAGTCTTAAACTTTTTCTGATTTTAAGCAAATAGGTCAAAGGTATCTTGAATATTTAGAAAAGAACATCAAAAGTGGGGGTATATGATGCAAATTTTCAGTTATTACTAAAAAAGTGTCAATTTTATGTTAAAATTGACTAAATTTTTTCCCGGGTTTTCAGAATATATTTACTATATCTGTCACACTTTGTTGAAAGAATTCATAAGAAATAATTTAATAGATATTTCAGAACCAGCATAATACATTTCACTGCAAAAAACAGCTTTGTGTGCAACCAGCAAGGAACATTAGGAATCCAAAATTAAAAGTACTGTTATAGTTCAAAAGGGGAAAAACTGATCATTTTCGTCTAAAAAAACCTTCCGCCACAAAATATAGTCCCTAGCTTAATTCTATTTAAATGAAATTTAAGCGCAGTTTTTTCATTGAATATAGTTCAATTTGCATTGTAGAATTCAGATTTAATGTTAGAACTTAAAAATGATGCAGAATTTTATAAATAATGGACATGACCAAAATCCATTCAAAAACTCAGGATCCAACGTCCTTAATTAGGTCAATTTTTTTTGGTGAAAGAAATGTCGAAAATTTAAACACAGACGTCAGGAAACTGAGGGACATATTATTATAAAGAGTAGTTTACGTAGCTCAAAATGTCTAATATGCGACAGAAATGGTAAATTTGATATCAAATGAAACGACATATATATATGGAGAAGATAATTATATAAAGATAACTAATATTATTAAATAGTTTATATATTGTTCCTGTATAATAAATAAAAGTGCAAACAGTTCAAAACACTACATATTAACGAGGTTTGAGGCCGTATTCACCGGTGGTTCAGTGCACGTGCAGCTGCATTGTGACGTCACAATCAACGTTCTTAACAAGTTTTTAAACAATGGTCGCAATGGCAAAAACCAGCTGTGTATCTGAGCAGGAGAAAACAAGCCTAACGCAGGTCCACCTTGGTCAATATTGGTCTTTTGCTGGTGAAAAAAAAAATCATATACACGCACATATAATGAGGATGATTATAAAAGAAATGTATGAAAAGGAATAAAAACTAGCTCTTGTTTAGATATACGCATCACAATTACTGAATATGACATAAATCATTGCATATACGTGCTTAGTGTACATATATATGTGTACATGTACAATGTATATGCGTGCATGTCCATATTTTAATACACATTTATGATAAAAAGATCAACACTGGTCAAGCTACTCATTTACTCTTCACAACTTTTCCATTTCATAATTTTCATAGGTCCCTTGCATGTAAAGAAATCCGATGTTATCAAAATATCGGGCATATACTTGTAACAAGTATGCAGCGTGTGCAATTTCTTCTGTTGCGGTCATGCACATACGTGATTCGAAATACCCCAAACTGTTGGGGGCTACAAATGCGGTTGTAACATATACATTTTTGAGATGTAATAAAAACTTAGTAATGCTCATGAAAGCTCATAAAAATGCCGTTCTATCAATACCTAATATGCTAGGTTTCATGAACCAACAACGCCACGACATCGATGAGAAATATTCTGCAACGTTTATACACGGAAATTTTCTTCGAGAAGGATAGCAAGTTAACGAATGAATTGATTATTACCCTAAATGACTGTACTATTAATTATTAATTTTTGTGCATGTGCAGACTACAGACTATTAGTCAAGAAATCAAAGATGAACTATTGCTACATTTTAAACTTTTGCTTTTATTTTATATGATCAGATGACATTGTTTTATTACGAGAATCATCTGATGATTTACAAAACGCAATTCATACATATTGTACTTAGTGATAATTTAATGTAAATGTTGATAATTAAAAAGTCTCGTTGATTTTCTCTAACCCCCCCCCACTTTATTTGAAAAAAAAAAGGCTGGAGAAAACTCTACCATCCGGCGAAAATGCATGATGATCTCTTTTTCAGCCGAAGAGTTTATCTCTCTGCACCCTTTCCTTCTTTTTGCTTGTTGTTCATCACGTGTATATAAATTTGTTTTTTCTTTGTGTTGGAGAGGAACATTCTATGTTGGAAAAACTTGTGTGTGATCCAATTTATTATATCAATAAAATATGTTTAAATTCAGAGTTTGTCGGTCCACAAAACTCAAAAACTAAGCATTTTTTTCTTTGTTTGTCACACCGCTATTAGCCAGAAAGTTCCTGTAGTGAATTTTTATCAGCCGTAGAAAATGCAGCCTTTTAACTTGTTAACACTGGGGAAAACACCGCGTCTTCTGAATTATCAACAGGGCTATAAAACGAGTGAATGAACCATTATTTTTCATCCAGTGAGGTAATTTGATAGACTTTAACAGTGGGTATGGAACTTTGAAACTAATTAATTGACAAGCAGCTTTCAAGAATTCTAAAACAGCAAATTATCAAATTCGCACTTGTTTTCATTCATCAAGTAACAATGCATGATGTAGGCTTTCGTACGCAACGTAACAGAAATTAGATATTTCACGCTGCAAAATACACAAGTACATGATCCTACTTTCATTTAATTATTATGACTCACATATAATAATAATGAATATCATTTAATAATTAATGCGCGTTACAGAAACAAATGGATATTCATACCTTTGAAATGGGTTTGTTAAGAAAGAACAAGAAAAGAAGGAGCAGGGAAAAAGAGAGGGCATAATAGTAC